TACATCTACTCGTTGGGGCCAGGGAACTATACAAATCTCACCTTTGCATCATTCAAAACGGATACGGGTCCCCTGACGCTAGTGCCGATTCCGACTATTCGGCGACTCTACGCAACTTCCACCTGGACTAGGTACTCCTCCGCATGAATACGCAGCGGACCGATTGTGCCCAACGTATTCACCGATACGACCCCGAGAATCGACACGACATCAGCTTCAATAGAGAAGGACAGAACAGGTGCAATTGCAATAACCACCTGTGCCCCAACCAATATAACGGACAGAGCAGCCCCAACGTCACCACCGGAAACGCGCCACAGAAAAGGCAGGAAGCTTGATCCGAATGACTTGGGCCCTCAATCAAACAACAGCCCCCTCCCCTCCGCGCAGCCCTGCTACCCACCGCACTAGTTCCCTACCAGACGTAGCGAACGAGCCCACCGAGGCTACACCCTTGTCGGAAGACAACCCCGCTCCTCGAGACGACGAAGAAACCGTCACCCCTCTCCGCGGTCTTCTCCAAACACACCCGGACGAACCAGACAGCGACGCGGACACGACAACAGAATCTATAGACACTACTATGTCCACAACACAGCAAGAACAAGCTCGGACCCAGAGGCTCTCGTTCCGAGCAACGAATGAGCCGAGTATCCCAGACATACCACCTCGTTCCAGCCTCCCCAGCTTCCAGCTCGGAAACTTGTTCACTCCACAAGACAGCATCTCCTCTCTACGCCAGGCGACAGGGGCCCAACCCGGTCAAACCACTCACTACGCCAGCAGTGGAGTCCCGACAGCACAACCTGTGATACCACCTACTACTGCTGCACTGACTAATCGCCCTCCTTCGCCCACTGGTCTGCCTCAAGGACTTGGCGGACCTCCGCAAGGTGGCGGACCACCTCAAGGAGGTGGACCCCCCCACGGCGGCAGACCCCCTCCAGGTGGCGGACCCCCTCAAGGACCTGGCGGACCACCACCTGTGGCTCCTCTCGGCGTACCAGGCATCCCCGCCGACCGAACCAAAGTCCGCGCCCCCAATGTTTTTGATGGAGATCGCGACAATCTATGCACCTTCCTCAATGAACTCTTCCTGTTCTTTGAGGCACGACCAGCCGACTATGCCACAGACCAGAGCCGCATCGTCACCGCCCTAACGTTCATGGATGGACCGAAGGTGATCGCCTGGAAGGACAGATACATCGCTCAGGTCCGACGAAACGGTTGGAACACCTGGAATGCGTTCGAGATGGTCTTACAACAGACCTTCCAGCCCATCGAAGAAGCCGCTACGGCCGCCTCCAAGCTGTACCACCTCGACTACCGACCTGCCGCACCAGACACCTTCAACGCGGAATTCTTCCGCCTCTGTGCCCTCGCCGGTATACTCGAAGACAGTGCTCAGCTGTCCTTTTACAAGGAGCGTCTCCCAGAAAGCATGCGACGACGGGTTCGCCTCACATACCCCATCCCCACCACCGTTAACGAGTGGGCAGCACGGGTGTTGGAGATCGAACACTCCAACTACGAGGAACGAAACCTGCGCCAACTTGAGGGACGCTCTCGCAACGACCGACAGGGCCAAGGCACAAAGGGACAGTCCGCTCGTACCAACCCCATACGACGAGTCGACACTCCAGCCATGAAGGAAGACAGAGAGAAGAAGCAATGCTTCTACTGTCACAAGACTGGTCACATCACACACGATTGCCTTAAGAAGAAGGCGGACAACTGTGCCAAGGGACGACAGCCTGGACAGAAGAAGCGGAAGGTGCGCAAGGTCGATGAACTAGAGGATGGCGAGGTCGCTGACGATGAAGACAATGGCGAAGACACACCTGACAAAACAATCAGTCAGGTCGACGTAGACGATTCAGATGAGGGTTTTTGAACGGGCAGTCTTCGCCAACAGAAGAACCGCCCTCTGACTGTATTAGTATCTCGTTTGTTGCCACTACAGAACGACAACGTCAATCTATTCTTATCCCGGGCAACATCAAGTACAAATCTACAAGTGTCGGAGCTCATGCGTTCATCGATTGCAGAGCAAGCACTTCTCTCCTTAACCGGAATTTCGCCAAGAAGCACAAACTCCCTCTCATCACCCTACCCTACCCCCTTTGTTTCACCAATGTCGATGGCACCGCCAACACGGCCGGACCAGTCACCCAGAAATTCGTCGGCCACTTTCAAATCAATAGCCACGAGATCCCCACCGAACTCTACGTCGCAGACTGCGGCCGGGATGACATCATTCTCGGAATGCCATGGCTAATCCAGTATAACCCCCATATCGACTGGGTACAGGGCAAGGTCCGGTTTGACGCCAAATACCTGCGGGCAGAACAGCGACTTTGGGAATACCACCAGCGCCCCTCAGGGAATCCCCGTCGACACCTTACCGCTTTCCTTCATGGAGACATCCATCCCGAATGGAACCCTTCTGCCACCATTTGACAACTCATCATTGGAGACACCGCCATCGCTCGCACCACCGTATCAACCCAACTGGCCGTCGACGCAGGGTCGAAGGCAGCTGACGTCAAGGCTCCTGTGGCCATCCCAGACTACTTCAAAACCTATCACCAGGTGTTCGAGAAGAAGGCGGCTGAACGAATGCCCAAGCCCCGGGCCTGGGATCACCCCATCGACCTGCGACCCGACTTCAAACCCCGGGACTGCAAGTTGTACCCTCCGTCCTCGCTCAAGATGCAGGAACTTCGGAAGTTTATCGACGAGAACCTAGCCAAGGGGTACATCCGCCCATCCACCTCACCAATGGCATTCCCGTTCTTCTTCGTGGACAAGAAGGATGGCTCCATGCGACCCATCCAGGACTACCGCTACCTCAATTCTGGCACAATCAAGAATGTCTACCCCCTTCCCCTGATCAACGATCTCATCGACAAGTTGCAAGGGGCCAAATACTTCACAAAGTTGGACGTCCGTGCTGGGTACAACAATGTCCGCATCAAAGACGGTGATCAGTGGAAGGCTGCCTTCAAGACCCCCCTTGGGCTCTACGAGCCAACTGTAATGTTCTTTGGGTTATGCAACGCCCCGGCAACTTTCCAAGCGATGATGAACGACGGCTTCAAGGACATGATTGCTGAGGGATGGATCGTCATCTACATGAACGACATTCTGATATTCTCCAAGACGGAGGACGTCCACCATCGTCGAACGCAGCGGGTCGTTCAGCGTCTCATCGAAATGGACCTATTCCTCAAGCGCAAGAAGTGCGTGTTCGACGCTAGTGAAGTCAAGTTCCTGGGCACCATCATTCGTGAAGGATCACTTGGCATGGACCCGGTCAAGCTCGACGGCATCCGCACCTGGCCTGTACCAACCACCGTCAAACAAGTCCAGAGCTTCCTCGGATTCTGCAACTTCTACCGACACTTCATCCGTGACTACAGCAAGATCGCTCGACCACTCACACAACTCACCCGCAAAGATCTACCCTTTCAATGGACACCCGAATGTCAGGTTGCATTTGACACGCTTCGCAACCTGTTCCAGCAGAAGCCCATCCTTTGCATGGCCGACCTGTCCGGAGCCTTCCAGATCGAATGCGACGCCTCCATGTTCGCCACTGGGGCCGTCCTCCGCCAACAGAATAGCAACCAAGACTGGATGCTGGTAGCGTACCTATCCCACGCCCTCTCGCCTGCGGAACGCAACTATCAGATCTACGACAAGGAGCTCCTAGCAGTTGTTCGCGCGTTCGAGACCTGGCAACACTACCTCAAAGGATCCCTCCACGTTATCCAGGTCATTTCTGACCACAAGAACCTCACCTACTGGCGGTCCGCGCAGAAGCTGACCCGACGCCAGGCCTGATGGAGTGCATTCCTCGGCCAGTTTCACTTCGAAATCCACCACCACGGTGGGAAGACCTTGACCCAAGCCGACACCCTGTCCCGCCGCCCCGACCATGCGGATGGGAAGCATGACAACAAGGACGTTGTCATCTTAAATGACGGGGTATTTATTCGAGCTGTCACTGATGATCTACTGCTACGAATCAAGGACACCACCCGGAAAGACACCAAGGTGGTACAGACTAGCCGTCATGGATGTCTAACCCTTGTCAGGCCACCTCCGTACGGCAAACCTGAAGACTGGAAGCTGGACGATGGAGTTGCCAAGTACCAGGGCAAGATCTACATACCTCCGAATTAAAACCTACGATGCGACATTGTCCGGATACATCACGACCCGGCAATAATGGGCCACCCTGGACAAGACCAGAACATCGAACTCATCTCCCGCCAGTACAGTTGGGGCGGAATGGAAAACTTCATCCGCAAATTCGTGCAGGGATGCGCCATCTGTCAAGGATCCAAGGTTAACACCCACCCCGTGAAAGCTCCTGCCATGCCTATTCTCCACGCAGGGAACACGCGGCCGTTTTCAGTCATCACCATGGATCACATCACGGGCCTTCCAACGTCCAACAGATTCAATGCCATTCAAGTGGTAGTAGATCACGACACCACCAAGGGCGCAGTCATCACCCCCTGCACCATCAATGTCACCGCCTTGGAAGCAGCCGAACTACTGTTCCGGGATGTCTACAAACGGTTTGGAGCCCCTCAGAGGATCATATCCGATTGAGGACCCCAGTTCGCGTCCGGGGTTTTCCAAGAACTGCAACGACTCGTAGGAGTCAAGACTTCTCGATCCACAGCGTATCACCCCCAGACGGACGGACAGACAGAACGAGTCAACCAGGGGATCGACTTGGCTCTGCGCATCTACTGCCTCAACAACCCGGACAGCTGGTCGGACAAACTCCCCGCCTTCGAGTTCTGCCACAATCAACGCAAGCACTCCGTTACGGGCAAGTCTCCGTTCAAACTCATCATGGGCTACAACCCCGACGTATTCCCCAACTCCCTCTCTCCATCCACGCACCCAAGTGCAGAAGAACAAATCCAGCAACTCCTCGAAGACAGAGCCAATGCGGAAGCCACGCACAATTGAGCAGCGGAGATCATGGCCCGAAGGGCTGGAACCAAGCCAGTCACGTTCAAGAAAGGCGACAGGGTCCTCCTCGAATCAACCAATCTCAGACTCCCCTATCCCCACCAAAAGCTAGCTCCAAAAAGGGAAGGACCCTTCGAGATCGACGAGATCACCGGTCCAGTCACGGTTCAGCTGAAACTCCCCAAGGCCTGGAAGATCCACGACGTCTTCCATGTGAATCTACTCACACCTTATCAGGTCACCAAGGAACACAGTCCAGACTACCCCAGACCGCCCCCAGAGACCGTAGAAGGCGAAGAAGAATGGGAAGTCGAGGCTATCTTAGCCCATCGGAAACGTGGGAAAGGCTATCAATACTTCGTCTCTTGGAAGGGCTGGCCTAGCAGCAAAAATTCGTGGGTTTCCAGGAAAGAGATGACCAACGCGCTGAAGCTCCTCACCAAGTACAAGAAGCAACAGCGACTCTAGGGAACAACCCCCAACCCACCCTCTCTCCCACCAATCCACACCATGCCGCAACTCGCCTCCACCTACCGCGCTGCCTCCGAAGACGTCCCCACCTCCCAATGGTTCCTCGACCACGACTTCCACCTTTCCTTCCTCCACCTACCCGGCAACAAAATTGCCGGATACGGTCAGACCTCCCAACGCCAATACGTTGGGTGGCTCCTTCTCCAACCCAACCCGGAGTTGCGCAACGTCCTGGAATGGCGATTCCAGGACGTCCCGCCCGCCTTTCATGCCTGGGCCATCTACGGCGAGTCGGTCGTCACCCTCACCCATCTCCAGACCCTCAACTGGGACGTCGGCGAGCTCACCGACCCGTCTGGCCAACGACGGGCCTACGACACCATCTCCCAGCTGCAGGCCATGATGATCGCCATGTCCGACCACACCTTAAATATTGTTTGCACCCCCCATCATCTTTTCCTCATCGCTGACCTCGTCAATCACATAGAGCAGGTTGACCGCGAACACGAGCGGACCTGGCTGGAGCGCGTCATCGCCAACAATGACAGCCAAGCCGCCTCACCTATCCCCCCCACCCCGCCTCTGCCCGCCCTGGAATGGGGAAACCCGGCCGACGTCTCCGGGTGGGGCGACACCAACGTCGACTGGAGCAACACTAACTGGGGGAATGTCCCCATGGACGAGGCCGACATGGAGTGGTCCCCCCCTGTACAACCTCCATGGCGCTCCCCTCCACCCCGCGACTCCCCCTCCCCAACACCGCAGCATCTCTGCCCAATGCCCGCTCGCCTACGCTCCGGCGTGCCACCTCCAACCCGTACGCGCCCTTCTCCCCGCTCTCCCAGCCCCACCCCCCGCTCCCTAAGCCCCGTCGATGAGAACGAACCCCACTTTGCCATGGTTGTCGACCCCGCGTCGCCCCTGGAGTGGCCAACCTCGGCCGTCTGAACGGTCCTCGGCACCATCGGCAGAGGCGACCTCACCAACACCACCGACCCTGACGCCCTGTCCGCGCCCCCTGACCCTCCAACCCCGCCACTTCGCCAACGCACCCCTCGCACCCCCCGTACCCCGCCCCCGCCCCGGGCCCCACCACAGTCCGCTATCGGACGCCCCTCCTGGGTCACCCAGCATACGGGGGGGCCCTCCTCTACGAGGAGTGACTCCCGGACGGCTGGCAAATCGGGCCGGAAGAACCCCGTCACGTCGGCAGCCACCCTTGGGAGTGGCGTATCTTAGGCCACCTCAACGGGACTGTGTCACAGTTTTCTCGTGCCACGTGACCTGGGGGTCATGTGTACTGGGACAGACGCTCACCTTGACCACGGGCAACTTGTATCGGAAAATGGAGGGGCCAGGATCGAACCCCAGACCTCGTGACGGGCAGGAGCGCCCATCCTCACTCACTGGCAGGTGACTGATGTGACAGCAGGAGCGCTTACTCATTGGGAGGGGTCCGGACTCGGCACGACTCAGGTATTAGTCGTAAAGTCACCATGAGGCAGGTCAGAGGGTAGGACATGAGGCAGAGAACTCTGATCAAACAATGGTCAATAGGTACCTGGTCTGTGCACCGTTGTATTAGTATATATAGTAGGGAATCTGAGGCAGGGAACCTCGAGCTTGATCTTCTCGTCGATTCCCCATCTCCTCTGTAGGTAGCTAGCAGCCCTACCTTCTACTGCCCCTTCTAGTCTAGGGAATACACCTCTTCACATCTCTTGCTGTGTCACCTCTGGTTGCTTCGCTTCTCAGCACCAACCTCTGCATCAGTAAGCTTTGCCCTTGTTTGTTTTGGTGGCACAGCTCGTTGGCTGTGACATTAGATCAAGTCTCTTACCCATCCCCTCCGTGGAGTGTCTCAACCACTTGCGGACCGGATCTCTCTCCCCAGGAGTTTTTTGAAACGTTTATCATCCCCCCCCACTACTCCTTCCATCCGACTCGGACCTACCGGAGTTTACCCGTCGTCACTTCAAGAGACACGGTCACCTCGACGTCCAGTCCCAGATT